AAAAAAAAAAACGATGGAAGGAGATAACCAGGCTCCCACGTTCTTTCGCTTTATTACTAACCAAAATGATTCCATGACTATTTGCTCATTCCACACTTTCATACAAACAGATGCACATACACAAACACTCAAATACATATTAAACACTTTTAAATTTTAGGTTTAAGTGCGCACTTCTGCTTGCTATGTGCAGTTGGACGCTCAGGGGTACTCGCAAATACATTTGTAAGGTAGTATACATACATATGTACTTGATTTAACAGTCATGCATTCATGTGCTTTACTGCACTACAGGGAGCCTCGGGCAAACATTTGGTTCCGATTCCCGTCCTCACTAATATTCAATAAAAATAATTTGTTTTTTTTTTTTTTTTGTCTGGCGATGTTACATTTTCACTTCTGCCATTTTAATTGAAGAGCGAGTGATAGTCGGTTGACTGAATGATGGGAGCACGCAATCGCTGGGGCGTGACACATCGACCTTATTCTTCATGCACATCCCAACGCCGACCAAGTGGACTGCAAATGAATCAGGAGTACAGACTATTGGGTGGAAGTGACTTTCGCATAACCAAAAACGCGTTCTTGTGCACATACGCGTCGTTACACAGTGCAGTGATGCGTAAGGGTGGACTCGAGTCTGATGCTCACTAAGTGCCAGTGTGTGGCAGTTGGCATACAGTATGCAGCATGCGACAAGTGTCGTGTGGCGGCCTACAGTTCATAGCTCATAGCACATTCAACATAGCGCGCCAACTGGCACTACTTTTCTTTGACTGTGCTCCAACACACATGCCAGAAACTGTTGCATCGCCTACACCTCATGCACATGCCGTTTGCACTCCCTCAATCATTTCGGCTTTTGAAAGTCTGTCATTCACTAAGCGTACTGCCACATTTCTTTTGCCACTAGCGGCATGCCCCGAAGGCGGGCGAGGTGGGTTTGCTTTCAAATATTGCAACGGCAAAAAGTGAACTATTCGCATTTTTTGCTTCACTACAACCGTTCGGAATTCAGTTTAGTTCAGCAAATGACACTTTTTCGGCTTCAACCAGTAATTGGTGGTATTTTCAAAAGGATTCGTTAGAAATGTTTTCTTCACCACCTTGCTTGACCATCGCCATACATATGTTTTAGGTAAAAATGTAGGATGCTTGAATGGCAGCAAATAGGAAGATGAAAGCGAATTCGAGAGCTGTTATGGTTAAATGAAAATTAATAAATGCCTACAAAGTTTTAATATAGTTATTTAAGCTGATTAATCTGCCATTCGCAGCTATTCACTAATAACCTAACTGGAATACAGAAACGAATTCTGAATGTTAGCAATTAGAGAGGGGAACGTTTAGGACTATTTTTGATTTTCACACTCATGACAAAAAATATAATAGCAACTTACTCTACATATGTATATGTGTATGTAATAGTGAAACACACGCCCTAAAGTTGTTTTCTTCGGTCTTTTGATTCGGATATAGCAAAATTATTATTTACCTCATAGATGTGCCACGGAAAGTATAAAAATGAATAAAAAGTAATAATATTATCTAGACTTTAAGAAGCAATGCTTTAGAACTGTGGAGTCGTCAATTTTGAACCTCATTCGTCCGACATTGTAAATAAAAGAAACGAGGTTACGAGGAGGAAGCATCGAAAGCCTGGGACTTTAACCCGAACTAAACCTTCAACCGTCCTGTACAGTATTTTGTCCCGGTGCTACCATGCTGTTGAAATTATTTCTCGAAAACGATTTGGGTTCTTTCAGTTCCAGTTGCACGAGGAATAATTTGAGCTTGGGCGAGCTTCTTCTCCGATTTGTGGCGTGCATCTTCATGTTGTCACAAAAAGCGGAGGGACCTACACCGACTCCGAACTGCGATTGTGTTTCTATGGGAAGCTGTTTTTTATGGCAGAAATACACTCGGAAGTTTGCCATTTCCTGCAGAGGCCGACCGCTGTCAAGAACAAAACCTTGTTCAGTATTTTTTTTTTGCGATGTTGCTTTGACCTGGGCTTGAACCCAGGCCCTGCTGAGTGATAGCGCGCACTGCTAACCACTACACCCCAGCGGCCGTTATTTGTTAGGCGATTAGAAATATGTACAACGATAAGACCGTTGACGATGACCACGTGTCGATTTAAAATGCTATAAAGAAAGTCAAAATTTTTAATCGGGGAAGCATCTTTTCCATGGTACCCAGAAACTTCAATCAAAAAGTTGTTAAAAATTTATTGAAATAAGGAGCCCCGATACCTAAAGGGACGTAAAAGACAAAATACAGTTTTTTTAGTGATTATTTTACTAGAGCTCAGTCAGGAAAAATGTAATCTTTCCGTCTTATAATTGGTTTGTTCCACAAGCTACTTGTAGAAAAACTCGAGCCTAGTTCAAACTGTAAGCGTATATCAAATAAACTCTAAAACTTACTTGTGAAACGCGTATGTGTAACTCGAAGTGACTTCGAGTCGCTTGTGGAACAAACCTAATTTTAAATTTTGGAAACGGATTTTCATTTTGGATAAAATTTACAAAAATGGCAGCACTGGTCTTTGTATTTTACTATAAGCTTTCGCACCCTCACCCGGCATGCTTGACGCAAATTTAAAAATGTCTGCAAGCATGGTGAAGTACAGTTGAAAAGCTTTTAGCGAGGTGTATATAACTATTAAGTTGACTCTGCTTATGCCAAAGCGGAAATGTTGAGCTTTCGCAATATGAGACCATACGGGAAATTGGAGCTTTCGGAGTAGAAGCACAACGACTTCTAGATACCAAAAAAGCTGAAATCATAGAATCCATTCTCCGTAGCTCTCGTTGCCCGTACTGCTTAAGTAGATAAGGGAATGTTATTATGCATTTTTTGAATTGTTTTATATTTTCTTTATTCATTAATTTTTCGCCTAACCTAATTTTGCACGAGTGTGTAAGAAGACACTTGTAATTCTGTTTTGTCGCACAAAAATAAATAAATAAATAATTCATAATTTGTAAACTATTCTTAACGCGAAACCAAATAGAGATACTCGTGTGTGCCAACTAAAATAACTTATTTCTTTATCTAACGGGTTTATATGTAAGTATGTATGTATGTGTTTGTGTTTCCCTATTGTCATCCGGCTGAGTTACAGCCTAAACCAAGAGTCCAGTCGTTAATAAGTAAGTCTGCGTCCAAATATCGCAGGAATCAGCATGCTGCATGCTCATTGCGTCGTCGATTCTAAACCTCATTGCACTCAAGAAACAGTTGTTGACAGTCGTAACCGGAACGCCCTCTACGCCCGGCGTCGTACAATTGCTCGAAGTGCCCATCGCTGGTGCGATCCAGGAAGTAGCTGGTCGCGTACCTGTGAATGCAATTGCAATTGGCAATCATTAGCTGTGGCTGGCAATGTGAATTGCTTGCACATTTTGCTAATTGCGCAATACTTACGATCCCAGTTGGCAGAAGATGCTTGCGCCGCCGATTTCACGCACGCATTCCGTGTTGGCCTCGCAAATGTAGCGCTGCATGCACTTGTCGTCCGCGTTGCGGTAGGTGCGCACGTAGCCCTTCAACAGGGAGAGACCGGCAACGGTGGCGTCACTCACTGAATCGCGCTTGCCCATCGAACGGGCGGTCAACGACCGATGCGAGAATGAAGTCTTCAGTGCGTCCAACAGATTCATCACGATTTGAATGAACTGACGAAGGCAATATTTATTAAAAACAAAGAAGAAGAGAATATATATACAAAATACAAAATTAGAAGTTTACTGGATTTAATGGAATCTTTTTGTTGATAGCAAGAGTTCCTTAGTGTGTGCGTGTGCGAATATGACTAAGTACATAGAATTACTATGGAGGAGTGTTAGATGAGGAGGGAATTGATTTTGCAAGCAGCGCCAAAGCATAAATGAGCACAAAAAAAAAATGAAGGAAAGGAATGTGGCAATCAAAACGGGGAGTGTATAATATTACCAGTTATAAGTAACTGTTATAATTACATATGTATGTACGTGTGTGTAATTGCATGTCAGTGCAAAATCGAAGTAGTGTATGCA